GCAAATTCAGGAAGAAGCGACCTAAGAAAGCAGAAGTGAATGGGATCGGCCAGAGCAGAGGTGCAGACCGGCAAGATGAGAAACATGCAGGGGGACGGGTTGGTGCCTGCATCCCTTACAGGGGTCTGCCGCCCTTACAGGGGTCTGCCGCAGCAGATAGGAAAGACAAGGAGGCTGGGAGGAGGAGAGCGGGAGGACATGGAGGCCGTGACCTGTTGTGGAATGAAGAAAGGAGAGCAGCTTCCATCACCCGTGTCACACTCTGCAAACAGGTAGAGCAGGCGGGGAGTGAATCCAGTGCTGTCGTGTCTGGCCGCTGGGATTGCCCTGGGAGATGGCAGGTGGAGAATGTTAGGGATGCACTTGTTACGAACAGAACGTGTGGCATTGCAGGCTTTTCTCATGAAATGCTGTGATCTTTAAAAAGGAGTCATTCAGGGAGGATGTGACCAGGGATTTTTTGGTTTTTGATGTGGGAGATTTGAGTTCTCTTTTACAAATTCGGGGGAGGTAGTGAGGGACAGGCAGTGATGAGACATGCAAGGCAGGGTCTCGTGCAAAACCTGTAAGGCAAGAGTCATGAGGTTCGCCAGGGAGCAAAAGGGAGTGGCGTGGAGACCTCCTAGGCTGATCTTGGAAAGGGATCTGGTGGCTTCTTTCTGCAGGAGGGGAAGGCTGGGGGGAAGGTCTGCAGTGGGGCTATAGGGGTAAAGACTGGATGGTGGACCAGTGGAGGCTGAAGACGTTAACCCAGTGCCTCTGGAGGATAGATTGTGCTGCGGTAGGAGGTCCAGGGGGGCGAAGAATGGAGTCCAAGGGACTTCGTTCTTAGCTCAGTACACTGAGTGAGGAAACCACCAACTCAGGTAGGAAATGTCAAGGAGGACTAGGATTACTGGGCTGCTGACGAGTTAGTTTTGGAGAATATTGAGTCTTGGTGCTTGTGAGGCATGAGGTAGGGATGTCTAGGTGGAAATCTGGTTTAAAACTGCAGGACGGGATGAGTCCATGCAGGAAGAAGATACGAAGTGAGTCTGCATGAGTGTGGAATGTGGGGCACGAGTGTTCATGAGGAAGCTGAGACAGTGAAGACCGTAGACCAAAAGTGCAGCCCCGTGGGAGCGCTGGAGGGGGAAGGTGAGATGTGTGGACAGATGTTTCAGAAATAGAAGAAGCAAACCAAACGTGAACTCACCCCACGACAGAGCTTTGACTCGTTATTTTTATTCCAATTATTAAATGCCAGTAGCATTTGTGATATATTAGATATCATGGTATCTAATTTTTTTCGCGATACATTAGAACATTTGCTGAAATTGCAATCCCATCTTATGAATGGTGTTTTGGGTAACAAGTTTCTATATATTCATTTTCCAAGAGAAATTTCATAGTGAAGAAGAAACCAAAGTAACTCAAATCCATGAACTTCTGGGAGTACACTCTTAGAAGAGCAACTGAACATAGTTTTACTAACTTCCACCTGTACTTTGCTCCATGATCAGAAGTATTCAGAGGCTATTTTAAAGAAAGAAACATAAATACAACAGACAGAGACCGGGGGTGGGGGGTGGGGGGGGTGGGGAGGCTTTATCTTCCTAAGAAACAAATTCTTTCAAGATGATGTAGCTTTTTTTTTTTTTTTTTAATTCCTATCAAGATAAGGAATATCTTGCTCTTTAAGAAGTGGTCTCTTTCATGCCCGTGGTTCTTTTGGCTCCAGGTTGAGAGGATGTGTTGCAGAAGAAAATGCTGTTTGATTGTTCCATCTTGGAGCAAAGAGAAGACTGTCACGTCACTCTTTCCCTTTGCTGCTTTTTAGAGAGTCGTACATAAATCCTAAGTGCACTTGCATTTCTAAGGACCCCGTTTGCATCAACAGTTCTTTCCGGAAGGCTCTTTCACATACGTCCTTGGTATATCCAGCATCTCAGGCCTGACCTGTCTCTTTTTGAGTCTGTCCCATTTCTGTTGGAATCTTTCTAATTAGTGATTCTGTTCCCAACATAGTTCACAACATTTTCTGTCCATACACGTTTTGTTTTGTTTTTTCCTTTTTGCCCCATGGTACCCACATAGAATGAGAATGGGTAGTTCTCCCTTCTTCTTACCATTGCCCTTATAAGATTATTTTAATTCGGTCTTCTTTTTCTCATTGGCTCCTGTCAGAAGATACTCCCAGGGCTGAATTTCAGAGCCATTCAGTGGTATGTTTAAGGAGTCGTGCAAAGATCAACTTCGAGTTGTGTGGGAATGGCATAACCAGAGGACGAATTGAAATCACTATTTCCAGATGGATTAAAGAAATGTTCCTTTAATAACAAAGTATTGTATCTTTGTTATATCTGTTGGTGTCCTGGATTTTTTGGTTGACAGCCGTCAACTCGGACTTGTAACTCTAATTAAGAGATACACCCTTTGTTCACGCAGTTTCCAATGTAGTGATTAGAGAGACACAGACCTCAGATCAAATCTTGCTTGAGCTTGATTTGAGTTCCTTAAGATTCAGTTTTCCTATGCTCAGAACGGGATGATCATACCTGGATTGAGTGAGTTCCTGGATATCAAGGAGCCTGCATCCCTCCCCTCTGTGGACGCTCGCCTCTCACGCCCTCAGCTTCAGTGGCCTCACCACTGCCGTCACTGTTCCCTACAGTCATTTCAAAGACTTCCGCTATGAGTGGTCTTTCCCAGCACCTCGCTTCCGTACTGAAACTGTTTTGATGAGGAATTCGTCTCTGTTTGTTCTAGAAGTGGCTGGGCCTTTATGGGGAGGCGTCCAGTAACCTAGAAGTCTGTCCACAGCTGATGTAATAGGTGCCTTTTTCCCTCTGGATTTAGGCTAGATCTACCATTTACCTATCGCTGTGCAAGAATCTACCCAAAACGCCACAGCTCCAGACAACCAGCACTTCTTATCTTGAAGTTACCGCGGTCAGGGATTCAAGACCGTCCTATCTGAGTGTCTCTGGCTCGTGGTCTGTCAGAGTGTCGGCTGGGGCTACATGATCTGAAGGCTTGACTGGGGTTGAAGACTCCGCAGGTCTGCGCTCCCTCATGTGACCACAGGCAGGATGCCTCCGCTCCTTGGGGCCTGTTGGCAATCCGGTGGGGAGGAACCTTGGTCACTCACCGCATAGACCTCTCCTTAGGGCTGCTTGCATGGGTCACAGCGTGGCGGCTGTCTTCCCCCAGAGCAGTGATCTGAAGGCGAGCCAACGGGAAGCCACCACACCTTTTCCTACCCAGTCTATACCTGCTATTCAGTTGAGTCCTTTGGAATTAGGCGCCACCCCTCCCTCTTTCCCCCTCCTCCCTTTTGCCTCCGTTCCTCCACTCCCCTTCCTCCTCTTCACTCCTCCGCCCTTGCCGTAAGTCCTGCTCCCATTTTAGCAAACAGAGGCCACTGTTTGCCTGCCCGGGTCCTCCTGAACCTGGAGTGAGATGAACCGGGCGAACAGGTGTCGTTGGAGGAGAGCTCAGGCGGGTAGCCACACTGTGGGCCCCGACCGCAGACAGAGGCTCTGTGTCTGCCCGGGTTCTGTGCTTGCATTGGAGGGAGCTGGTCCAGCTCAGGGGCGGTTTAGTCAAAGCATGGGGTCCTCGGACGGGTGCTGTCTGAGCGGGAGTCTGCTCAGGACCAGCCTTTCCTTCTTCTCCTGGGAAAGCAGTACGAGGCGTCCCTTCCCACGCAGCTGAGCTGGGTTTGTGTCCCCCTTCTCGGAGGGCGAGGGCAAGGCTGGAAGTTCTCCATCATTTCGTTGCTTCCTGGCTATTTACTCATAAGGAAAAGCGGTATTTGGACAAGTTTCCCCATCAGATGCCGTCCCTCCTCCCTCCAGCAGGCCACCGCAGGCCCCGTATTTCTGGTGCAGGAGTCTTGGGACCTTCAGGACTCAGGGCTGCTGATTACTTACTTGCATATCTAGATTCTCTTTCTCTAGTAACTGTGATGCATCTAATCATCTATAAATTAATCCGGGGCCCCAAGGAGGCAGGGAGTCCGCGAGCTTAGCAGGGCCCTGCCCGTTTTCGTTCTCATGTTCACTCCATCCTCTGCACCCCCGTGCATGCCTCTATCCCCATCCTTCACACTGGACCTCTCTCCCTTGGCCTCACCCATTACCTTCAGGAAGGTGGTTTTAAATGCTGGTCACTGTAATGTGCCCAGACAGGGTGTGGACTCTCAGAAGTCACACGGGTGGGAGGAAGAGAGTGTGGTACGTTCTTGCTTCAACCCTGAAGACAACCCCTCACATTTCCAGCCCCGGGGAGGGTCTCTATCCAGAAAGCCGGAGGTGAAGGATGCCAAGATTTCTTGAACTGCGTGTTTTCCCCATTTCTGGTCATGGGTTAGGGAACTCTGTCCTGGCTCAAGAGTTGAAGAGAGGCTCCAGGTTGTGGGCTATCGGCGTTTGGAAACACTGTTTGGTTACCTTTGTTTTAAAAGTCATGCCCCTCTTGGAATGAGCTCCTGGTTTACTGACTGCTCTCCAAAGCTGAAGGACTCACGCTGCATTGGACAGAAGGACGAGAGTTTGCCCAGGGAAGCCTATCTTGCTTTTTATTTTCACTGAGGATGTACAATGGAATTTGCCGTAATTTACAGGGACGCCCACAGTACGTGGGTCTTACAGTCCTGCTGGGTCTAGCTGGCTGGCCGACAGCCTCTGGTGACCTCCTCATTGGTCCTGGGCTACATGTCACTGAGCTGGAAATCTGTGCCCCTGATTTAACCACAACCAGCCAGCTCTGGAGTCCATATCAAGCCTCTGACTGCAGGTAAACAATGTGCAAATGAAGAAAGTAAAATAAACAGGATATGCAAATTAACTTTCTAAGTAAATTAGACTTTGCCTCCAGGTCTCCTGATTAACTACTCTTCCTCCACTGATGTTTTTTTAGGATGCACAGTGATTTAAAAATATCATGGTCACAGCCTTTGTCTCAATGCTTGCTTTTTTTTCTTTTCTTTTTCTTTTTTTTTTTGTCTTGTGTTTCAGATATACCAACACTCCTACACTGGATATTATGTCCTGAGCAAAATTCCTCATGGGTAAGATGATTCTTTCATGTTCTTTGAAGGAGAAGTATTCAAAACAAAGAAATGGTAGAACCCTGAGTAGTGGCTCAATTCCTAGAATTAAGGGCAGGAAACGGGGCAGCTTGATTTTGACAGTGAAGGGCCCGGATGTCATGGGGCTTCCCGGCTAACTGTACCCAGCATCTAGGGGTCCCGCGAGTCGGGGTACTTGCCCATTTGTGAAGCTCCCGTCCTAGGAAAATGCCACCTCTCTCCTGTTCTGTTGCGGAGGTTTCCCCTAGAGGTCCTGCCGGCCGGGACTGTCTCCCCACCCCCGCCCCGTAATCAGCTGTGGCCCTCCCAGGCATGGGGAATAGCCCGGGACTCCCACAGGGCTCTGGTTATGTACACAATAGAATGACGCCCCTAAGCGCATCGCGTCTCTCAAAAATGTGTGATTTGAGACCCAAATGTGTGTGGGAAGGACAGACATGAGACCATGCATGATTTTACGAGGCTTTCGGTGCTGGGCAACTGTACCCACACACGGCAGAGGGAGGCATTATCAGGAGCTCACCTCCGGGTCCAAAGGCAAAAACAGACACTGGTTAAAGTTTGTTGAGTTAGATGTGGAGAAGCTGCTGCAGGATTAAGGGAGGCAGGGGTGGCTTCCAGTTCCTCTCCCATCATCCCCCTCCCCCTTCTCCCTCCTCCTCTCCCCTCCTGCACCTGTAGCCTTCTTGTTCTGTGTCTCCTCCTCTCCTCCACCCCTCCGGGAGTTCTTTCAGAAACCCTGGGAAAGGTGAGGGGCTTGGGAAACGGTCAGAGAAATTGAGCATTGCTACCGCCGGTGAACATGTGAGGGAGGCTTCCCCGATTTCCAGAATGTAAACCAGCAACAGGAATTGCTAAAAAGTATTGTTTCATGGGAGAGCATGAACCCGCAACACCGATGTTTCCAACTGCGGTCGTCTGCTTTCTACTAAGTTTAAGTAGAGCATGGGCACCTCTTTGGAAAGCAAACATGGAGAAAACAAGTTCATCTGGCCTTCAGACAAAGGAGAGATGTGTGTAGAGGGGCGGCAGCCTGAGATCAACAGCTTCTGTGAGATGAGTAGACAAACCAAGTTCAAAGACCCAGAAGGTGAATCACTGGTAAGAATTAAGCATCCTTAGGAATTTTTCATTTAAATCCTATTTTAAATAGAAACTCGGGAATTTTTCCATTATTTTCTGAAGCAGACCTACATCTTCAGAGCTCACGGCAGGCAGGAGTATGATTATACCTTGAGATTTATGTACCCGGTGTCGGAAGATTGAACGTATTATAGATGATGGATCGTTCGTTCCGTCTTCCATCAATTTGCAAAACTCAAAACTGTAGAAGCACTTTATGCTGAACACATTGTGTTAACACACTGCATCAGTCAGAGTTTAGAAGAAGTAGATCTGGACAACCTGACCCAAACCAGCGGCCAAGCGGAGGACGAGACTTGGTTTCCGCGTTGACGGTGATGAGCCCCCACAGAGAATGTCAGCATGTAACAAGCTACCTTCCGTATTTTTAAAATCATCACAGTAATGGTAATCGCCATCATTCGTAGATTGACTTTCGAGTGCCTTCACCCCAGCACAGCAGCCGCAGGAAAAGCGCTCCCTCCCCCATTCCCAGTGGGAGCTGTAAGGCAGGCCGCCCCACATCTCCCAGCTCGTGCACAGCCTGGCTGACCCGAGCCCTGTGCTTTCCAGGCATCCCCTTGAGCTACGTTAGAGCTGTAAAGATCAGAGTTTTAGTGGTGCGAATTCATTTCTTTTCTGAGGGCTCTTACAAGATCGAAAGACATAGCAGATGACTTGTGTCCTTTACTGGGAAAAAAACCCCCCGTGGATGAGAAGGTCCGTGGCCCTCCCAGCACCCTATGAGCTGACACAGAATCTCCAAAGCTTCTCCCTCCTTGTCATGATCGTTTATGGAAAATGAGTCCATTCATTTCATTTGTTGTCAACATCTAATTTGTATTAATGAGCCTTCAGGCCTCATCGTTCTGCAGCTTCCGCCACTTCTCCGGGGGTCACCGGAACAAGTGCTCCTCCTCCACGGATAGCGGGAGAAGGACACGGCCCACCATCCGAGGCTTGTGCTCCACGTAGATCCAGGGTGGAGAGGAAGGCACAACTGTGTTTTTAAAACAAAAATTAATCTGGTTAATTTATCAGGATTTGCATTATTTATCATACCAGAAACAAAGAGCTTCCCTTGGTGCTTCTGAAGACACAGATCTGTACGTTTCTCCCAAGTTCTCACTTCTCGGTCCTCACTTCTCCCCCAAAGACTCCACCGTGAGCCCGAGGCCATGCGGTCTGCAGGACGGGATTAGCCCTCGTTTATAACTAGTTTTGTCTTGGCTTCGGGCTTTCCGGCCAGTCACGGAGAAAGCTCGAATTAATTTTTCAGTGCTTTCTAAATCTGGTTCCCTGCGTTTTTGCCGGTGGCAGAAGAACTCGAGGAAGGGTATGCCTTTTTCCCTGTGTCGTTCACAAGCCAGGAGAGAAGCCCCCGGTCCTGTGAGCTCACTGCCTCCTTCAGGGTTTGGCCCTCGGTCCGCGGCGGGAACTGAGCCCCGTCCTTGTGTGCGCGCCGGCTCGGCTCGTAATGAGAATCCCAAAGCAGAGTTGTCACGTATGCAAAGATCTAAAACTAAAGGGAGAATCTGTTTCACTTGCACATACTTAAAAGTACTTGCACATACTCTTAAAAGACACGTATCTTTTACACAAATCTGTTTGCAAAGCCAAATTTAAAGCTAGTCATTCTTACCATAAAACATTTCACTAAGTTTTTATATCAGAAATTCAGCAACATAAAGCCATCTTCTGTGATAGAGATTATAGGCAGCTGAACATTTTCTATTAAGAACCCATCATGTGTTTTCATAGAACTATTTTTGTATGCTCGGCTGCTTCTGGAGGTTTTCCTGACCTGACATTTTTCTGGAATTAATGTTTTTCTTTGGCCTGAGGGATTTTTAAAAAAATATATATATTTCTGTATGATTACAATTTCTCATCAGGATCATCCTGAAAAGCATATGGACTGGTGAAAATTGTTCCTTTTATAACATAAATCAATTTTAAGGAAAACCTGGCCTATCTCTTAATTGGGTGGGTTTGGCAATATGGGGTTTAGCAAACAATACTAAAACAGACACAAAGGAACAATGGAAGGTATTTTTCTTACACACCAGGGCAACTTTGATAGATATCATTGCCCTAAATGAGCTAGATTATTTACTGGTATTTTTCAGTCACCACCCATATTTATACAAAAATTGCACTCCTTTGGGATTCTTATCGACTTACGAAGTTGCGTTCTGTATCTGTGAAAACTGTAAACTATGACATAGGTCCTCCTGCGCAGAATGACACTCTAACGTTAAGGCTGGGGTACAGAGGAACGTTCCATTGATTCAGAAGCTAGACATCTGGGCTGATAACATATGCTTAGCACCCGGCATCTTGCCAACAGCATGAGGCAGGAGGTAAGAACGTCCCCCCTGTGGCCACATAGACGCGAATCTGAACTCTCCCATCTGCTGCTGATCTTGACCATTGTGGTACTTCTGCAGACCTCAGTTTCGATATTTTTAAAAAGAGGACAATGCTGGCGCTCCCCTCAGGGGCATCTTATAAGAATGAAGTGGAGTGATACATGCAAAAGGCACGGCAGAGAACTTTGCTTCTAGTGAACATTTGGGGATGTTATTTCTTAATATTGTAGGATGTTCCCGTAGATATTTGTCGTCTCATGATTAAATATTATTTGACTTTCTACCCAGATGAAATCCTTTCTGTTACAGGAAAGGCATGAATTTTATTCTATAAGAATAAAATTCTCAAAGCTAAGGCTTGTTCTGTGACACTTGGGTAATTGTAATGCCCATGTGATGTTCTAATGTCTCTCTTAAAAGAAATGTCTGTAGCCTCAAATGTCTATAATTCCCAATGCTCAGTGCCTTCTTTTTTATATCATTTAAATCAGACCTACCACAATTAATGTTTACGGTGTTCTTGTTTTGACTCCAGTAGAAGCAAACAAGAAGGTATAAGTCAAGGAGTTTTTATTGAAATGCTCCATGAGTAACAAAAGCATGGTTGCCATCCTTAAGAAGTTCAAAATTCTGTTGAAAAGAAAGGACACAGACTCTGTCATAATACACAGCCAAGTGGCCCAAGTGAGTAACTTAAACACTGAATACAGAAGAGAAGGTTGTGGGCATCAGGTCTCATAAAGGAAGTCTGGCCACAGCCGATTCTGGTGAGTTGAACCCGTTATTTTTAATAGATGGAGACAGCGAGCAGATATCCCAGGTCGAGAGGATCATTAAACAGATCTGGCCTTTGCGGTGAGCCAGGATCTTCTGGAATCAGTAGGTTCTACGCCAGGCAGCAGCACAGGTGTTCACATGGGGTCTGTGTGCATAGAGCTGAGGTTGGGTGGGGGTTAGGGTAGGCTTGCAGTGTGGGGAACCTAAACCCCACCTCGTGTGGTGAGTCTTTACAGCAAGAACGTGGGGATCCTTTAGTGCAGTTGTGTTGAAAACGGCAGGTCTGAGTGAGTTTCACGTGTATGTACAGAAGGGAAGGGAGGTTTGAAGCATGGATTCAATTAGGAGGCCTGTTGGGGAGTCATGAAAGCTTGGAATGGGCAGAGCCCACTGCGTAGAAACCACACTCAGACTGATTACGGGTAGTTGGCGTTCTCCTGGAAAATGAAGACAGATTTCCCGTATTTATTCCATGTCCCTCTAATTAAATCTTGGAGGCAGCCTGTGTCCTCTTGTGAGCTGAGCCTGGTGCATGAGGAGATTCAAAGTAGTGAGTTCACGAGGGCTTTGATGAAAAGTCTCAGCTTACCGCATTTCCTCCCTGGCCTTTTTTCTCATGGATCCCAGGGGCCCTGCTGCTGGCCCCTCCCAGGTAGACACACTCTGGCTCTGCCCAGCCAGCTACCTTCACAGCTGCCAGAATTTGCA